AGCCACTAAACAGCTCTAACTCGCTGGAGCAGCCAGTTTAATTCATAGAAAGTAGCTGTAACTCTTGACATCACTTCCGAAGCCCACCCTGGGACTCCAGCCCAGGCCGCCCTGAGAGGCAGTTTTTGGGGGGCGCTGATTTTGAGATGGAAGGGAAGGTTATTTGAGGCATTCCGGTAGATTTCCGGGCTCCCAACTCCCTTCCTTGCTTGGCTGGTGATTTTCTGCTCCTCCTCCTCCCCCCTCTTGACCTCCTCTGCGGTACCTTCCCTTCCCCTCCCCCTCTCATCCTCAGCAAATCTTCAGCCCGAGAAAAAAACAGCCCTTTGGCGGTAAATTCAGCGCTGCCTCTTGGATACGACTGCGGTGTGGGAAAGGGATCCTCCTCTCCTTTTTCTTTTTTCTTTTTTTAAGAAAGAACAATCAGCTAGATTTGATTAATTTGATCAGCTAACCTGAGTTAACTTGCTTCCGGTTTCCCTAGAGCTCGGGCGGACCCGTGGGATGTTTTGCAAGATTCCGCGCTGAGGTGAAACATTGTAGCCAAACCGCCCAGGAGCTCGGAGAGAAAAAGCTTTGCCTCTAGACTCGGACTACCTCCGCGAAAACCCGATACATTTAATGAGCGCTTTGCCAAATGCAGGGTTCTGTGCGTCCTTGGGCCAGACCTCTTAGTCAGCACACTGCACTGGCTGGTTCCTACCTGGGCTCCAGGTAGAATTCAGTTAAAACTCCACTGTTCCTAATCATTTAGGTCTAGAAGTTCAAAGAGGGTGGGTGGCAGGGAGTTTCTTTTGCCAAAGGTTTTAGCCGATTTTGAGAAATCCTAATAAACACTTCCAGAAGCACCATTTGAAAAGGAGCGTGCAAATTTCTGTCCTCGCTGGACCGGACCGAACTCCTACCCGCACTCAGCTGTGGAGCCTGGCATGCTCTGGACTGACCTTGGGTTTGTGGCTTCGCTGCTGGCGGAAGAGCGCTATTCTATCTCGGCTGAGAACCGAGCAGCCGACCACGAAGGAACGCTGCCTTCCAGGCCTTCGTCTCCCGGTAGAGAATACCAGGAACCGCTGGTGACAGACACAAACGACTACCTGAACTCAAAAGTGCAAGCTAAAATGCTGTGATTGTAGAAGATAATTCTTGCTAATTCACCCAGATTGTTTCAACTGGTTAATAAAGCACTTGACACTCAACAAAACCACATTCCCAGCAGGAGTCTTAGGCAATAAAATGAGAATCACAAGTAAAGGTTTGTTATTGTTAACAACTACCTTTATTATCATAGCTTGGTACCACATCCTTTAAAGCAAAAAGAAAGAAAAAGAGGTAATCATTTCATACCCAATGGTACATGGAGAGATACCTCTTTTTCTCTGAAATTAGAACAGATTCACTTGCTCCATCCTCAATAAGCCACCAAGTGGAAGAGGCAAATTAGCTCTAACACCCACGTCCCATTCCCAGTGGAATATAAATGGTTAATCCTGACTCCCTTTAATCACATATAATTTTGTCTGACCCTTGCACATGATTAAAGACACTAGCCTTATTCTACATGATTAGAGACTACATAGAAAAAGGAAAATGGAGAAACAGGACACAGATACAGTATACTGGATCCTATTTTCAGAGTTGAATAAATTTGTTCATGTTTTATTTTGATCCCCAAATTAGGTGTTTATGGAGATCAGAAAACAAATCTTTTATATATATATATATATATATATATATATATATCCCCAATTGAATACCTCATTCATTGAAACTGGCAGCCTAATTGTTCTATTCTCAAACCCAATCTGGGTGTGGGTTAAATACAGTGCATAGCCTCCCTGGAAATAAATTCCCAAACATATCTCAAATAGCCCCTCTTTTCTTCCCAATCTTGCTTAGATAGGAATGAAAAAGCTTTTCACTGTACGCAAGTCCTCAAAAAACCAACTGAAAATTCATTTGTATCTGCCAGAGATTGTTAAGGAATAAGCACATTCTAACTGCGTAAATTTACATTTCAATTACAATTAAAACCTATTTAGATTTATGGAAAGTAGCTTGATTTCATGATGTTTGTCCAGGAATTTGCATCTGTCATTAAGTTTGATGTGGAGTGTTTAAATTTTAATTAAAGCAGAGAAAGAAAGCAACCATACAGTGAAACTTAGGGATAAGACCCCAGGAGAAGGCTTGGGTGTAACAGCTGCATTTTGGAAGGTATGTTCAAGTGCACATGGGCAGATGTCCTAAACTCAAGAGGAATTTATTAAATCTCAGCATCTCTATTCAGACACTGTAAGGTTTATTGGGGATGGCTGGGAGTGCTTGGTACTACACTAACTACTCACTCTTATTTTCCTCTTGTCAGTAGAGGAACTCAAACCAGGAATTCACATCACTGCTGTTTTGAAGGATATATTTTTGACCTAATAGAATATACAAAGGTCAAAATTAGTCCAATTTTGCCAGAAGAGTATCTAATCCTCCCTTTGAACACAAGAGGTCGCTCCTATGATCGAGTACTCTTGAAAAACATTGATAATCACACTTTTATATAATTACAGTTGTATATATTCTATAAAACTAAACATTTTACAAATATATTGGACACACTAAATCCACATACAGCAATCAACGAAGGAAAACAGAAAGAATCTGGTCACATCAGCACTTCCAGTAAAGTGAAACAATACTGCCTGGTCTCCTAACTCTGATTTTGATGAAAAATGTATTATCCATAGACATAGAACTCCAAAGCACACCCAACAGGGAACAACATAATCATTGGGTTCCCTCAAGTTTCTCCCTTTGAGGGAAGTATCTTACGCGTGGATCCTTGCTTCTGTCACTTTAGCAAATATGAAAATATTTGTTTACAGTAATGGTGCGGGCTAAGAAAAGGAAAACATATCTTCACCATTATGGTAAAACTGCTCATTACCGAAGGTTTCCTTTCAAGTCACATGCCAGATTTTTTACTTGGAATTGCTATCATCAACAATAATTCTTTGTAACAGCTTTTGAGTGTAGGGAGTTAAAATACCACATTGTGTATGTATGGGGTGACTGGGGAGGGTATGAAGGAAGATGGACTGAGAATGTCTCAAATATAAGTCACCACTGCTTCTGCTATTTAATTTCACGCTATAAACGAGGCGTGAGCGGATATGATTGGTTCGGCAAATTTGCTGTTTACTTTCCGACGTTATGGCGGTATCTTTTTCGCTAGGGTCAACTTGGTTATCTATACGGGAAACATGCCCAAATAGTGGAAAGACTAGCTTAGTGTAGTAATTATCAGCACCGGCTTTGAAAAGCAGCTTGACAAAAGGCTCCATGCATAGAATACTAGAGACTAGAAACGTGGACTCAAAACAAAACAAAATACAACCGGTAAATTCATCAATCTAGATCAATCCAACTTTGGATTCTATACACACACTCGACATAATTTACAATAAAATCGAAGAGAAGAGAGCTAGACTTGAAGTCTTCCTTGAGAGAAGACAACACAAAACAAAAAATACGGGTTCCTGGTAAAACCTCATCTAGGTCAGGAAGGAACTCGGGCTTTAGCTGGTCTCTGCGCTCTGGAGAGGCAATGTCATTTAACCCCGGCCTCAAAGGCCGGAGGAGGGCTCGCAGGTCTTATCAAGGACTAGATCTGGTGAGAGATACAATGAAAGCAGTTTCCTAACCCACCGGGTCTTCTCGCCGCCACAAGGCACCGAAATTAAGCCTTCTACAGCTTGTGTTTGTAGGCTTTTTTAGATAAAACTGGCAGACCCAATAGATAAGGAATAGCTGTTTGGAAGCTTTGGGGGAAGCGGGGGGGGGGGTTCTTCTTGGGCTTTCTGGGACTTTCTCTTTAGGAGATTGGAAGAGATGATGGAAACATGTAAGAAATGACTGGAAAAAGTTACCGGCTAGATGCACACAGCAATCTTCTCTCCCCAGGTTGTTTCCCCGAGAGGAAATATCCACACTCGGTGAAGAGAAATAGGTATTTCGCTGTTCTTCTGTAATATACCCCTTCCTTAGAGTAAGTTAAAAAAAAAAATCTTTAACAGACATGGAGACTTGCCTTAAAATTATCAGAACATCAACTAACTGCGCGTTTAAGAACAAAGGGCAAAAGAACAGGAGAGAGAGTAACTGGACAGTACAGAATTGCTTCACAAACTTTAGGCTACTGGAAAATCATTTCACTCTTTGGCTTCAGGTTAGCGCACGCTTCCATTTTAGAGTTAAACTGGAAAGCAGACCTCGCTGGTCGGGAGGAAGGGCTGTCCACGGAGTCAACTTCGCTTTACCTGCGCGTTTCCAACCTCAATTGTCCGCTACGGCAAAAGCGCCCGTTACCTCCCACCCCATGGTATTGGAGATCTAAGGCCGGGGTGAAGGGGTAATAGGGTAGTAGTCAGCGAACAATTCCTCTAGGTCTGACCATCCCATTCCTGGTTCTTCTTACCCTACCACAGCGGGCAGCCAATGAGTCAGGCAATTCACCCGTCCTGGCGGCCAAGCCAGGCCAGGCCCCGGCCCAGGTCTGTGCGCTACAAAGAGGGACCATACCAAGCTGAGAGGACCGTCCCAAGTTCCCCTTTTTCCTAGAGCCCGGGAGGGACCTCAGCAACAGGGAAACCTACCCACCAGCCACTCGCCACCGGCGAAAGAAAAGTGAGCCCCGCGCTCAACGCAGCCGGCGGACTGCGGGGACCCCTGGAGCGCACGGCGGAGGAGCAGCGCGAGAGGCGGCGCGGCCGGGAAGGAGCAGGGAGGGGAAGGAGGTGGAGGAGAGGGAGGCCAAAAGCCAGAGCCTCCGGGCAGCCCGAGCTTCGGGGAGCAACAGCCTGAGCACGGAGCCAGCGGCCTCGGGAGCCCTAATCCTCTCCCGCGGGCTCGCCGAGCGGCCAGTGGCGCAGCGCAGCGGCGAGGCTGAAATATGATAATCAGAACAGCTGCGCCGCGCGCCCCGCAGCCAATGGGCGCGGCCCTCGCCTGACGTCCCCGCGCGCTGCGTCAGACCAATGGCGATGGAGCTGAGTTGGAGGAGAGAAGTTTGAGTAAGAGATAAGGAAGAGAGGTGCCCGAGCCGCGCCGAGTCCGCCGCAGCCGCAGCGCCTCCGCTCCGCCAACTCCGCCGGCTTAGAGTGGACTCCGGATCCGCGAGGGCGCGGCGTAGCCGGGCAGCGGCTCTCTCATCCTTGGCAACCCCAAGGGCCACTGTTTCCCACTTAGCCACAGCTCCAGCATCCTCTCTGTGGGCTGTTCACCAACTGTCCAACCACCATTTCACTGTGGACATTACTCCCTCTTACAGATATGGGAGACATGGGAGATCCACCAAAAAGTAAGAGGCTCTTTTACCTTGTGGGGCTCGGTGTGCTGTTCTGGTGCGGGGGTCTCTCTCAGGCACGGGTGTCAAGGGCTCTTCGGAGTTGGAGTCACTGCCTGGAGAGAGAGAAGAGGTGGCTTTTTCTCGTGGCCGTCACGGCTGCTTGCTTGCTGTCGGTTCTTATCTTGGGGAAACTGATCGTACCTAGTGTTTGAATTTGCCAGTTTGCCCTCGCAAGCCCTAGTCTTCTGGTGCTAAGAGGCGATTTCCTCCTCGGGAATCCCGAGCTCTCCGAGAAGGTTATTATGTTCCAAAGGTCTGCGTGAACATACAATACCCGGAGATATGAATTAGCATTAGACTTGCAAAAGAGAACGAGTGACAACTATATTGATGTCTGCTCTTGCTAACAATATCCAGTCCTAGGTGCTATTTAAGAGCGTGCTTCATAGAAAATATAGACATCCCTGCGTTCACTTAACGCTTCTAGTCAAAACCTTTTCTTTGACTTGACTTATCCATAATCTTTCCCAATGATTATAGCAAAGAGGGAGGAGGGAGAAAATACAAAATGAGCGGGTTCGATTGCGTGCTAGGCTTACAAATGTAGACTATTCAAATCTGCATTTTACATATATTCCACCTCCTTTTTAAAATGAGTCAAGGTTTTGATGGCACACTTCAATTACCATCCCAAAGTGCAATACTCTTTTTTAAAAAATGAAAGAAGAAGAAGAAAAAAACCCTCCCTGAGTACGCCCTATAAGAGAACGACACTAAAAGTGTGTTTATCTCTGTAGGAAGTAAACGGTTAGTCAATCATGTATTTATTTTCATTTCAGAAAAACGTCTGATTTCCCTATGTGTTGGTTGCGGCAATCAAATTCATGATCAGTATATTCTGAGGGTTTCTCCGGATTTGGAATGGCATGCGGCATGTTTGAAATGTGCGGAGTGTAATCAGTATTTGGACGAGAGCTGTACGTGCTTTGTTAGGGATGGGAAAACCTACTGTAAAAGAGATTATATCAGGTATGCCATTTATACTTTTGCCTTAATTTGTGAAATTTCCTTGTCTCTCCATTCATTATTTGGTGTGGCTTTGTCTTTGGGGAAGTTTGCTTTGGTGGGTTCTAGCATGCAAAAGTTTCCTTTTTAACTGCGTTTAAAAAATTAAACTATGCTGTTCATGTAGCTTTTTAAGAAAAAAGAAAATAAAGCCTCTCTGCAGGGTTTTTCATAAGTTGTATGGTATTAAGGCTTGTTAAATTATCCTTGGAATTTGTAGTGCCCAAACTATTTTCTTTCACCCTTTCCTTTCCAAAAGCACCATCAACAACAAAAAAAATTTAAAGATGCATAAGTTTGAGTTTCTAAACTCTAAAAAATGGTCGATTTTCACTGTATATAATGCAGTGTTGTATTTGTTCGTTTTAATTGTTTTATTAGTAAGTTTAAAATTTTTTGGAGGCATCAGTGAAATAGACCAAATAAAAGTTTGAAGCACATTTAAGAATGTATCTTGCAAAAGCAAACAGAATCATTACCTCTCTTTGAGTAAGGACCTCATCCTAGAAATTTTCAAAAATAACCAAAATATTCCTTGCAAAAAGACCCAGAAATTTAATCTTTTTAAATATTAACCCTTTGGTGACATCTGTCTTTTCTTTCTTATCTTATCTGAGCTGATGAATTAGACAGAGCAGATCAAATTGCCCATCATCTGTCCAGGAACAATTGGTATATTTAGATAATTGAACAGCTTCCTTTCTCACATTAAAATCTAGGAACTGATAAAATGAGTAAATTACCCATTCTGACAAGACTAAAACCACATAGCAACTTTCTGAGTTTGGCTTTATTGTTGCTTTTTCAATTTGCTCTGCATCAAGCTTCACTAATCTCAAGTTTTTGCTGACCCGTGTATGTATCAGAAACCTCATTTTCAGCCTTAGGAAGACGGTAGAATTTATAAAGAATTTTTTATTGCCTTCAATAACAAACAGGAGGTATCACCTTTGCTATTATGTCAAGTGATAGCAAAAATTTTTTTAAAAGAATTCTCCAGTGGCTATGAACAGATAATTAGCTGTTGTAGGTCAGAGAGTTTTTGGAACTTGAGAACTTTCATTAAAGTTTAGTAAAGATTTAATATGCAGTCACAATTTTCTTCAGTCACATATAATGAAGATTTTTTTAAAATTATGAAGTAGAGAGTATTATCTTGATAGATAAATTGAACAATGCAGGGGGAAATATGTTTAATACTGGGGGGTAGAGGGAAGTGGGGGTTGGGGCGTTGAGGAGGAGGGAGGAATTTTCTAAATTGTTGGGTCACTGGCAAAGTAAAATCCTAATCCCACAAAATGGAAGCTCTTACATTAGGTAGATAGAGAGAAGAAAAACTTTTGAATCTACCTTTTAACCTCTGACAAGTGAGCCATTTTCATTGTTTGGTTGGTATGTGGGTTCAAAATTCTGGAGAGAGAGAACCCACTTGGCACCTCCAGGAGCATCTTTACTCTTATGGAAATATCCTAATACATACTTCTATAGAAAAACCCAGTCTTGCCTTTTTTCCTGTCTCTCGTAACTCTGTGTGTGTGTGTGTACATGAACATGCACATGTGCCCTTAAATCCTGGGGTTGTAAAAGCAGAATGGAGCAATCCTTTGCATTTCTTAATATCTTATAGGACAGCAACCCCCACCCCCACCTCTGCTTGGATCTTTTCCTCTCTCCCCTGTTTTTAGGAATGGCCCAGTTTGTGTTATTACTGAAAGACGGGGACAAGCAGTGGAGCTTAGATGAAACCTATAAGAATCATCCCTTGGTAAGGGAAACCCAGCAAAGAGATGACCTTAGAAGTGAAAATTCTCATTTTTCAAGTTTGTCATGGTTCTCAAGCAAAATGAAATAAGGGCAGATACTTCAGAAACTTGGAAAAGATTTGAGAAAGTGAGAGCGGATTTTAGGAATAATAATAAAAGGAAGAATGGAGAAGGAGCTTTCCATTTACATTGTTGCCTGCGGAAAATCTGTGGTTGGATGGAGACTAGACTGTACTTGCTGTGAAGGAGGGGCTCTGCAGGTTTCATTTTGTTATCCAGTGTGTGGATTTGTGGGAGTTCACAAATGAAGAGGGGTGGCAGTCCCATTCCACAGCCTTTTTGTTGTTGCCTCAGAGATATTTCTAGCAGCAATTGAGGGCTAAGGAAGTGAAAGTGTGAGGCCACTGGCTGCTGGAGTCCCTCTGCATTCCTTCCTGCTAAGGTCTGCAAGGACAGCTCTGGGACTGGTTGCTAGTTCTGCGACCCAGGTTTTGAATCCATGAATAAATCTTCCTTAGTTTGGGCCGGATGTTCTAGATTTAAGAGATACTGAGACAGAGGTTCACTGGAAAGCAAAAAGGACTAAAGCAAAGGGAGAGGGGTGGTGGAGGAGAAAGATACAAAAGCGGGAAAGAGGTTTCATTTCTCTCCTCTCCTTCTGAGAGGTAATAGTGATTTTTCAAGGCATCTCTGGGCCTTCAGCCGGGGATCGCTGGCTGTCTTCGGCCAGGACAGTGCCTGCCTCAAGTGACCCCTTCTTGTGCTTCTGTTCCCACCCGGCCGGCCCCCGCGCAGGTTGTACGGTATCAAATGCGCCAAGTGCAGTATCGGCTTCAGCAAGAACGACTTTGTGATGCGCGCCCGCTCCAAGGTGTACCACATCGAGTGTTTCCGCTGCGTGGCCTGCAGCCGCCAGCTCATTCCAGGGGACGAGTTTGCGCTGCGGGAGGACGGGCTCTTCTGCCGCGCGGACCATGATGTGGTGGAGAGAGCCAGTCTGGGCGCTGGTGACCCTCTGAGTCCCCTGCATCCGGCAAGGCCGCTGCAAATGGCAGGTATTCCACGCCCTGAGGGAGGCCAGCTCCGGGGAGTCAGGCCCGGGCCAAGTCAGTGTGGCCCCTTCCAAAGGCCTGGAGGCCGAGGCAAACCTGATAGCCGCAGGGTGGTTGTGACAGCAAGCCTGCAGCCATTAAGCCGAGTGTTATATGTGCAGTTTTGCACCGTGCTCCGTTCTTGTTCAGCAGGGTTCACCACGCACGCTGTCTGCTTTGACCTCCCAAGAACACCTATAGTCTGCCCGTCTAAATAGGGGTACACAGGAAACCCTTGCGCACGTGCATACGCAGGCCCAAACAGCACTGTCAGTTTACCTTGGCCACCAAGCCAGGCCTTACTGAAAATGGGCTGCAGCTCCCTGGCCAGGTATTTTCTTAGCTGCTGCCTGCTTAAAGGGGTGGAGCCCTAGGTCCCTATAGTTTCCTCCTCAATTCAGTGAAGGAAGCTTAAGTGCCTTATGTCATTTAGCCTCCCAATTTCTTTCTTTTTACTCCCCGCTCCAAAGCATTTTTTTAAATTTTATTTTTATCTTTCAGTAAGAGAAGGGACCCTGAAAAGATAGTCTTAATAACTGTAGGTCATTGCACAGAGATGTAATTTAAAACTGTCAACAAGCTAATCTGCAGTAATTGCCTTTTAAAGGGTGCTTGCCTCTTAAACCATTCATTCTATGTGATTTGGTGAGAATTTCATCTTCAAGCCTCTTGCTGAAGCTCTAAATTGACCTCCTAGGTGTTGGCCTGACCCTAGGGGGTGGTGGCAAGTGCAGGATTTCTACCATACAGATCAGAGGGTAGGTTCCTCATGAAAGAAAGTGGTGGAAACAGCAAGTTTGGCCAGGACCAAGGCTAGGGTAGGACAGTGTTTCCATACTGACCTCTGGTTGTGAATAGATCTGCACAACCCCTAACCCTATATAGTTTTAAAGTATCAGTTCTCACTAAATAGTGGAGCTGAGGAAACAGCTCTACCACTACACACGCACACACACACACACACACACACACACACACACACACCCCTCCTTTTTCTGGCAGCTCTAAAAAGTCTGTCCTGGGGAATTTGTGGACTAGCTTTCCTGGGGCAAACTCAAGGGTGGGAAACACAGAGGAGGCCGAAATATTGGGAGGGAGGTGAGGGACAACATTTCCCAGAAGTCGTTTATCTTGAGCACAGGCAGCTCAGCAGACTTTCAGTTTTCCTTTGCTTGGGGTCAGCCGTTTCAGGAACATCCCATGTTGATTTAGTGCTAAGAAAGACCAGGGACTGGAGAGATGGCCAAATAACAGCATTTCTTTAGCCCTTAACATGACTGGCCTGTGAGACTGAAGTTCAAGGCTTTCTGGCAGGATCCTCAGCCCTGAAGTGCTCTGTATTTCCTTCCTTAGTACCCTCCTGGCCTTCACCCAAGAGGAAGTACCAGCCCTGGAGGTGGGGGTATTCCGTATAACCTGGGCTCAGGCCGGGTATGGGAAAAGGCGGGGAAGGAGGAAAACAGTGCTGGGATGAGTTGCCCCTGAAGCTGTGAGGGACTCACCAGAGGGGTGCTTCCTTTGGCTGACCCTGGGCTGGCGAGAGCAAGGGCAGGGGCTGTGTTTCCACTGGGATTACTCAGCAGTGATCTCTGCAAACGAAGGAATGAGATTTTATTCTCCTTACCCCTCCTCACCCCCTCCTCTGCCACCCCTCCTTTGTGTGTCAAGGCTGCACAACACTAGCAATTGTTGGAGTTGCGAGTGGCGGGTGGGTGGGTGGACAGGTGAGTGCCCTGGCCCCAGCTCACAGCTCCCGTTGTCCCGCAGCTGAGCCTATCTCCGCCCGGCAGCCGGCCCTGCGGCCCCACGTCCACAAACAGCCTGAGAAGACCACCCGAGTGCGGACTGTGCTGAATGAGAAGCAGCTGCACACCTTGCGGACCTGCTATGCTGCCAACCCCCGGCCAGATGCGCTCATGAAGGAGCAACTGGTGGAGATGACAGGCCTCAGCCCCCGCGTGATTCGAGTCTGGTTTCAAAACAAGCGGTGCAAGGACAAGAAGCGAAGCATCATGATGAAGCAGCTCCAGCAGCAGCAACCCAATGACAAAACCGTGAGTGGCCAAATGGGGGACAAGGGGAACGGGAAAGGAGAAGACTTGTGGGGTGCATCCAGCAGGAGCCAGATGAGGAAGCCCTCCCCTCCACCTCCACAACACAGCCACCCAAGTCCTGACAGAGGAAGGAGGAGGAGGCATCCACCCAGCACCGTTAGAGAGTTAGAGAGGCTCCTAGTGAGGTGGGATCCCTGTTGGCCCTCATCCCAGGCTGGCAGCCATAGCATGGGTGAGCTCATGTATCCATGGGGGCAGGTGGCAATGAGGCCTGGCCTGGGCTTTGCTAAAATTGAGGTCATCAGTTCCACGTTTACAGAAAAGGAGGGAGGGGCAATGCTTTGAGTGCCTGTCTATAACCAGGGCCTCTGTGGGCAGTCATCCTGCAGACCTTCTGGGCCCTCCCTACTGCTTTGTGAATCCTGCCCTGAGACTGGAGAGGTCCCCCAAGGTAACTCACACCCACAGGGCACCCTCTGCTGCCAGGGGAGCCCAGGCCTCTCCAGAGGTGTCAGGCCCCTGGCACTGTTTTGCCAGGCAGTGCCCCTCTCCAGGCCTCCTGGTTAAGTTAAACTACAGTTTCTTTCTTTCCCTTTTTATTTTTTTCATTTTACTGCTTCGGCCCTATTTTTAAATGCTATAAAACCCTCTGTCATTAAACTTGGCAGGCCTGCCAAGACTGGGCCAGGGTGCTTTCTAAGTTGGTTAGTGCATAATAGCATAATAGCAGCCAGACCCAAAAGCTTGAGAGTGGGGCCTGGATCTGCAAGGAAGAACTGCTTGGAGAAAATCTGCAGCTAACTGAAACTGCCCAGAAAACCACCATGTCTACAGCCTGAAGGGAGGCCCAGCCTGCCTCTGCTTTCTACATCTGGGAGGCTAAAACCTGTGAAAGTAGATGGGAGAAATTGGGGGTGAGCTATGAAGGTAAGGGGGAAGAAGACAGTCAGTAGAATTTGCTTTAATGAAGTTTAAGTAGCCCTAATAGTCCAGCCCACAGAAGTAGAAAAACAAAACTGAACTCCAGCTCATATCCATAGGTACAGCAGATTAACTGCGTCAATAAAAGACCACTGTACAGATAAGATAATACCAGGTATATTTGCTTAGCCTGGGCAGACAATGGAGGGAGGTAGTTTGCTCATTAACATGTTGGGATGTGGGTGCTATTCACAGAATATCCAGGGAATGACAGGAACTCCCATGGTGGCTGCCAGTCCAGAGAGACACGACGGTGGGTTACAGGCTAACCCAGTAGAGGTACAAAGTTACCAGCCACCTTGGAAAGTACTGAGTGACTTCGCCTTGCAGAGTGACATAGATCAACCTGCTTTTCAGCAACTGGTAAGTGTCAGCTCCCAGTCTGAGAAGGCTGAATTCCCCACAGAAAGGGGATTCTGGTTTACCTGTCACACTGAAAGATTCTGGGGGAGGGTACTCCATGTTCCTTGGGGTGAGGAAGTGTGGCAGAAAAAGAGAAAGGAAGCAAATGCAAGGGAAACCAACTTTTTGTGTCTTTTTACGAGACTCTGTAATTTGATTATATACGTTGAATTTTCTATCAGTCGAGCACAGTTTCTGAGATTTACTTCAAAAACTTAACTAGATGATATGCACGAAAATGTATACAGGATACACCTTAAGCTTTTCAAGTTTGTAGGGACCTTAGAGACACCTTGCTATTTAGATAAGCATCCAGCAAGTTTACTCTATCTTCAGGATCTAGAGAATGGGATATTTTTAGGGTCAAAATCAAACCAATTGTAATACATATGCAATATAATAATCCATAATCAATGTTATTTATCAGAGAACAGCAGGAACTGTCTAGGTGCAGTTTTTAAATATACCAGTAAAGAGGTAAATTATTCAAATAGTTGATTGATATTTTTGTTACTATATATTGAATATATTGAGATGTAGGACTCCTTAGATATTTTTAAGTATATAAGTTCAAATATAGACACATTTATGTGTAGTTATATATATGTGTAGCATGTACAGCAAAAGAATTATAATCCTACAAATTAGAGACAATTCATGAAATTTAAAAACTGTTCGGGTATTAATGTTTTATATATCTAGAAGAGAGAATTAGTTCACCTCTTTTTAACCTACAAAAGGCTTTAAGGGTCAAGATAAATAAAGATTCTAAATATATGTCCTTTATAATATGGTATATTTGTACATATGATTTTTTTCTTAAAGTGTTATCAGTCCTATAAAATCCTGTTTTATAAAACATGAAGCTCTATCCTGCATTTAGCAATAAAACTGAAGCATTGACTGAGGATAGCTTTTTAACCTTCACATCTACCCAGAGGGCATTTGCTTCCTCAGTGTCAACAGTTAGGTAATTGGCCAGAGGGAAGTGGTTAAAAGGCCTGGGCCCCAGGCTCATCTCTGTAAATGGGCCCGTCTAAAGGATAGGCAACTTTGGGAAAGTGGGTAGAAAAGAAGAGGGACTCTGGAACTAGGAAAAAAATTTATTTTAAAGCCACTGATCTGATGAGTTAATTGAACAAAAACCTAGATGATAGAAGGAGGGTAGGGGAAGGTTCAAGACAGGCAAGTGTTTGCATTTCTGAAACTTTATGTTCAGATGAGAACAGCTGAGTGAGTGGAAGATGAGGTAGGAGTGGGGGATGTCATTGTGGAAGGAGGTTTATAGCAGCAGCGCAGTTCTGTTTGAGTTAAGTGAAAAAGCCAGATATTTATAATGGGATGATGTTATATGGATCTCCTCTTCAAAAGGAGGGCCTGATTTTGTAGGGCGGCGGAGTGGGGAGAGGAAAACAGCCCAACCAATAGGCAGCAGAAACAACAAGGAAGAAAGCCCATACTGTGAGTGAGCCCTCCAAAGAGTTAATCCTTGGTCCAGGGAGCCTCCTCTGCGTGTGTGTGTGTGTGTGTGTGTGTGTGTGTTATGAATTTTCCAACTCCAAAAGAGAAGCTTTGATGCCTAGAGACTGAGAACTTGCCTGCTCCCAGGGCAACATGTAGCCAGCAGAATAATTTTATTTTGAGCATGCATAGTAGAGTTGTGATGCCATTTTACAGTGGCATTTGTTCTTGAATAATTTAATGCAACATAATGTTGGGAATTCAGTTTGACTAAAACAGATCTTTAAGAAGATAGGAAAGTGAGAGGATTTCTTCTCAACTTTTCTCTTCATAGGCTTTCTGTGAGCCTGTTATATATGTGGGTATCTTTATCTATTTACACAAACACTTGTATATACATTACAATTTGATGAGCTTATGTTTTTATGAATATTTTTACAGCCTCCTTTATTTACTTCTCAACCTTCCATGCAGGTCAATTTTTCAGAAGGAGGACCAGGCTCTAATTCCACTGGCAGTGAAGTAGCATCGATGTCCTCTCAACTCCCAGACACACCCAACAGCATGGTAGCCAGTCCTATTGAGGCATGAGGAACATTCATTCAGATGCATTTTTTCCCTGTTGGAGAAAGTGGGAAATTATATTGTTGAACTCTGAAACAAAAGTATTTAACAACCCAGTCAATGAAAACTGAATCAAGAAATGAATGCTCCATGAAATGCACGAAGTCTGTTTTAATGACAAGGTGATATGGTAGCAACACTGTGAAGACAATCATGGGATTTTACTAGAATTAAACAAACAAAACCCAAAACCCAACATATGCTATTCAATGACCTTAGGAGTACTGAAAAAAATAAAGACGTTTTTAAAACGTAGAGGATTTATATTCAAGGATCTCAAAAAAAAAAAAAAAAGCATTTTCGTTTCACTGCACATCTAGAGAAAAGCAGAAATAGAAAATTTTCTAGTCCATCCTGATCTGAATGGTGCTGTTCTATATGGTCATTGCCTTGCCAAACAGGAGCCCCAGCAAAGAGCAGGAAGAGAGACTGGCCTCCCGGCAGAGTCCCTTCTGGAAGGTGGAGCTGCATTGGTTTGTGATGTTTTTAGTTGACTTTAACAAGGGGTTAATTGAAATCCTGGGGTCTTTTAGCATGCCCTGTAGCTGGTTTCCTTTTTACTTTTGCCACCCCGCCACCCTCCTCCCCCTTTTTTTTGAGATCCATCCTCTATCAAGAAGTCTGAAGCGACTTTAAAGGTTTTTGAATTGAGATTTAAAAACCAATTTATAAAGCATTGCAACAAGGTTACCTCTATTTTGCCACAAGCGTCGGGATTGTGTTTGACTCCTGTCTGTCCAAGAACTCTTCCCCCAAAGATGTGTATAGTTATTGGTTAAAAGGACTGTTTTCTCTTTCTCTGGAAATAAAGAGGAAAAAAAAAGGAAATTTTTTTGTTTGCTCTTGCATTGCAAAAATTATAAAGTAATTTATTATTTATTGTCAGAAGACTTGCCACTTTTCATGTCGTTTGACATTATTTTTTGTTTGCTGAAGTAAAAAAAATAAGATAAAGGTTGTACCGTGGTCTTTGAATTATATGTCTAATTCTATGTGTTTTGTCTTTTTTTCTTAAATATTATGTGAAATATCAAAGCGCCATATGTAGAATTATATCTTCAGGACTATTTCACTAATAAACGTTTGGCATAGATAAATAAATAAACGCAGTGATTCAGGGTCCCTCTTTTATATGTTTATTAGCAAGACTAAAATGTCTGAAATTAAGAATCGCATGTAAATTAGGGTAAAGGGACAATACAGTAGGTGCGATATTGTATTGCAAGTAGTTCAGGTGGAGTTTGCAAGTTTGGATTTCAATGCAGTAGTTTGGATCAAAGTTGGTTGGAGGAAGCCCTAGCTCTCAGGTGTGATGATGTTACAGGTGTTGTGACATGGAGCTGCTCCCCACTGGTCCTCCCCCCCGCCCCCCCAGTCCACAGTCATCCTCCCAAAAGGAAGATAGTCCTCCTTAAAATGACTTTTGAATTGGAGTCACTATTTTCTTTTCTAAGGATAAGTGCTTTATACCAAAGTCTCCTGATCAGAATTGTTGAAATGACCCATATTTCAGATACAAGCTCTTGCTGCAAGAGGGAGACCTCCCGTCCAGCTAGTGAGGGATGACCATAATTTACTAGCGGCGCTGTCGGCCGAGAAATTGAGAAATGCTGCTTTATTTGCGCAGAAGAAACGGCTGTGAGGGGGAAGTTTTCAGCCTTTCCCAGACCTGACTTTGTAGGCTTTTTCCTGCACACCCTCCTGCTCCTAAATCATCCCTTCTTTCCCAATTCCAATTCCCAAAACCTTGTGAAGAGTATCTGACTAGAGGGGAGAAATGCAGCAAACGCTGTGTTGGGGAACTGCCTTTTTACGGAATGGGGGGCCCGGGGTTGTGCTTTGCAGGCCTCGGGCGATCGGAGTTAGGTGAGTGTGCGCTCGGGGACAAACACCCCCTTCCGTGGCATTTAGCAGGAGCTCGAGTGCGACAGCCAGAACCCAAGGGTACTTAAACGGCAGACTCCAAACTTGGGCTGCTCGGCGCTCCCCCACTTGAGCACGCAGAGTGAGGGTTGGGGCTCCACCGTTCCTTCTCCTCCCTCCCTCCCTGCAGCCGCCCTCTCCCCCTCCCGGGAGGATTCTTTTTGACTCTTTGGAAACTGGTCTCATTTGTATGCGCAAGTGTAATGCCGTTTTCAATATCTGAAAACTTAATAAATACGAAAGCTAACGTACCCTGCTCGTGTGTCCTGTGGCGCGTTTCCCCTTCGGGCCCTGACTGGGAGCAGGGAGGAGACCAGGCTGCACACCCGGGAGCCCCGCGGCCCCCAAAGCTCTCAAGTCGCTTTCACCCTCTCCAAACCTGCCGCAAATCAGGAAGCGAGCCTCAATTAGGCTTTTGTTTGGCATCGTTCTACATAACGGGTTAATTACAGGCTCTGACGTGGGGGCAGAGAGAAAACAAACTTTGCATTGAAAATATTGCTGTGCATTAGACATGCCCCTTGATTACTCTGATTGTTGTGTCTAATTCTTGCCAGAGGGGTAATAATTTGGCGGGCGGTGATAATGGCTTGTAGTCTTCTGTTGAGATAAACAAGAGTTATGTCTTATCTCACACAGATCTTCTGGAAAAGATTTTTTTTTTCTTTTCTCTCTCAAATCCCTGCTCTAATCTCTGGTCACTGCACTTCACTCTTAGCTTCCTGTTGGCTCTATCTATTGATCTGCCTTTTCGTTTTCCTTTTTTCTCACCACAGTGCTGGAATGGCTAGTAAGCCTGTGCAAGTATAGCAGGTACGAGGAGAAGGTGGTGAGCTTCAATGTCAAGCTGGCAGAGTTTCGGAGCTCCCGGCACTGTTCATAGTCTCTGGTGGACTCTTGAAACTTTAAGACCCATGGATGGAAAAAAAAGCCAAAAAAACCTTTATTTAGACTCTGAATGCCAGAAGGGACGTAAAGGAGGCACACATCTGTGTGATCTTTTTTCCTCCTTGCATTGATTTATAAGATTAAAGGTATGTTGTATATGTATGTGGGGTGTGCAATATTTTTTTTATATAGATGACAATCTATTCTGAAGCCCACAGCTTGAATTTAAGCAAAATAATTTACGAGAGGGGTGATGAATACTTTGGTTTCACTTGCTAGATTCAAGATATTTGTTGCCTGATGGTTGAGAATGGATTGATGGGTTGATAGTGCTCTAGTTCTTGTATTATTCATTTGAAAGGTGGGTCTTCCCCTTCTAGACTCAGCATGCACTCTAAAATGTGTAGCTGAAATGTCATCTTGTTTGCAAATCATCTCTTACACGTACTCTCCATTTCTCTGCACACCTCTGGAGATCAACTTTTGAGCTCTGCTCTTCTAATGAAATTCCTCCGGTTTGTTATTATCTATGATCCTCCCTTATTACTCTGAATCTTTCCTTCTGGACATAGGTAATGATGCACTTCTCTAGCTCTTGCAAGCTAAAATTTAATGTAACCAGAAACACCTGGTACACTGTCTCTCAATCAGCTATCAATATCAATCGCTTTAAAGACAAGCTCCCCCCCATAGTTTCAGAGTAAGAACATTTTCTAATTCAGTCTATTGTCTCTTTTTCCCTTTCATCAAAGGGACTTGGTTTTTCTTACCACCAGAAAAGGTTCCCTTTAAATTAGAATCACATTTGAAGACATTTTTTCCCTCTATTGAAATGACTTTTCTGGTTATGATTCTGTATGGGCGTGTACACCCATTTGCCTATTAACAACTACCCTGATTCTCTTCACCCTGACCAACTTGCTAAATTCATCTTGGTGACCTCTTTTCTAGTCTCTCTTCATCCTTTTTGATGACCAGCCAAGGAGTCCCTGTGCTTGAAATGTTACCTGAGAGTACAGTGTATTTTTCTAGTACTTGAATCTTTAAGACACAAACCAGAATGTTCTTACTGAAATATAACTGTTATAAAACCCATGTGGATTTACTTGCTGTTTTCCTTTTTCTTAAAAAAAAAAAAAGAAGTAAGTTTAAAATCTCAGTCCAGACTCCCAGAAGAGATATTTGTATGGCACACTGCCACTTTGGATTTTTAATCTCATCCTTAATGGGAGTAAACTAAAGAGAAAGTGTTTATTTTCTTATTTGTAAAGTTCAGTTAGTCAACTTTTGTAAAGGAGATTTATAATCCAAATTAGGCTTGAGTTCTGTTGATAAAGGACTATTTACTTCCTCTTTGCAAATCAACAAAGATTATGTCACAACAAGGCAAATACAGTTTTCTTTAGGGACAATAGAAGAATGAAGGAAGGGATTATTTTTATGCTTTTATTTTTAAAGTGTTACTTTGGAAAATGGTCCCGAATCTCGAATTCTTATTGCTGATTTGAAATAAAAGTAAGTAACATGTACAGTGTGAGTTAGTGTTTTTAAACTAAAATACAAGGTTAATTCAAGGCTCTGGCAGCGATTTTGTTTACTGATCTTTTCTGATTGTTGTTTTCTTGATAACCGAGCAAGCCACTGAATGGTTGTTTGAGCCTAGGCGCCACAAACATAAACTTCACAGCTTACAAAGTCCCCAGCCCTGATGGAGGATCTATCCACACCTCCCGGAGGCTTCTGAAGTGTAGACAGAGAAGTTGGTTCACAGGGAGCGGAGCAGGGGGAGGGGCGGCAGGGCCTTTCTGGGTGTTCGCCGCTAGCATTGTTACTATCGCTTCCTTTAATTTTTATGATGCTTAAGCTCTTGGCTCCGAGAAGCCAGTTTCCCAGCCTGGAGGAAGCCAGTCTCATCCCTGAAATGCACTGAAGCTTCCTTGATTCTTCCTATTAAATCATTTTATAGTGCAAATCTTTCGTAATTACAGAAAGCGTTCGGTATTGACAAGCAAATGTGTTCTAAAATGATAACC